CCATGGAAAATACACAGTCAGATTAAGATACACGGACATTAACGGCTCGCTGGATGACCGTTGATAAGGTGTAAACTATTGAAATTTGAAATCAGTTCTAATCAGGTGGACATCGAATTTTCAGAAATAAAATTAATGATTAATTCCCTTATAGAATTAATGAGTTAAATTCCTTACAGGAGTGAGGGAGGGACGAAGGCGGTTAATATTACGTAGATGAAAATAGGCGGACCGGGTGATATTATTAATATGTGATTGAAATGACAGTGTACTGTCCAGGAGGACACCCAAACTCTTAAACTGAGGAGAAGGGGAAAAAGAGGAATTGTCAATTGAAAGAGAAAAGCTGTCAATTATGGATAAAATTGATTTAGTGCCAATTAGAAGAAATTCCGTTTTGTCACTGTTTAGTTTGAGGAAATTGGAGGAAAACCAGGATTTAAGTTAATTGAAACAGTCAGTGAGGGAGGAAGGAGGGAGAGTGGAATAAGGTTTGCTGGAGAAGTAGAGTTGGGTGTCATCCGCGTAACAGTGAAATAGGATGTTGTATTTACGAAAGATATTGCCAAGAGGAAGAAGGTAAATGATGAAAAGAAGGGGTCCCAAGACATAGCCCTGAGGCACACCAGTGTTAACGGGGGAAGGTTGGGAAATAAGTGATTGCAACTGAACAAATTGAGTGCGCCCTGAAAGATAAGATTTAAACCAATCTAAAGGGGTGTGAGTGATGCCAATAGAGATTAGTCTATTGACAAGGATAGTGTGAAAAATGGTGTCAAAGGTCACGGCAGTGATGCTTAAGATATTGTTGGTCATTCAGGGTTTCTGTAAAAAAATAGATAATAGTAATTATTATTAAAAGATAATACTACTACTCATTCTACTACTATACTAACAATAGACAACACGTTAAGGATTGATGAGCTGCTGGGTTAATGAATATTAATCACATGTTCGCTCGAACTGATTTACTGAAATCAAAACAGGGACTCTATTGGAGAAACCGGCATATTTTCTGCTTGTTCTTAAGCTAACTTTTTAATAGTTAATAAGGTCAGGGCTGTACAGTGCTACGAAAAAAATGGTCTGTGCGACAAATAAATTTACCACAGTAGCACGCGTGTGATACAGTTTTGCTATGTATGTGAGCCTGTTTACTAACCTGTCGTCCAACAAAGAGAACATGTTTTTTTAGTCCAAATTAACTTAACACCAGATGAGTATTTGAAATAACTTCCTTTTGGAACTTCCTTTACTGTTTTATAGTATTCTATATAGTGATAAATGCTATGTCATTAACCATTGCATTATAAATATACTTTATCCTTATAAAAATACCCAAGATGGCTTGAACAACACAGATAGATTGGAGGAACTGATTAGAGTAAGTATGGAGGGACCTAGTTAAGATGATATTGATGCCATGGAAGTTGTACAAATGTGGTTCAGTCAGGGTAAAAGATCTAGGAGGCCCAACTACAAGAGCTCCTTGCGGCCCAAAGGGGGATGTGCTCTAAGGCAGAGTAAGGAGAGGCAAGAAGGAGAGAAGTTTACTGCTTATTGCTGATGCTCTGACTGCTTACCTCATGTTTACATTTAATGTTTTTATATTTGTTTAGTTGTATCTTTTTTGTACTGATCACTTAATTTATTTGCATCTATGGATATACATGTGTTAAGCTGTGGTTTTTGTACTGTAATGACAGAACTTCTGCTGTAATGCTGTCTATTTATTATCAAAGCATTTGTCAGTAATACAGTTAAGATGGGTGAAAATGTGAATTGCTGCAGGTTGATTTAAAGTGTGCCCCTAAAACAATCCTGACAGACTGACTAATACATAGATAGACACAACAGTAGCCATAGTGAAGTCATTTTATTTGTGATTTGCCAGTTACATCAATTATATAAAATCACAGCAAGTTGGACATTTATTTATCTAAAATGCCGATTCCAATGTATTAAACTGAGTCAAATATGGGAACTATGTCTTTCACACAGATACCCATTTCCTGGTGCCATTTTAAAAAGCTCTTTAAAACTCTTTCCACAGAAAGAACACAAATAGGATCTCACATCTGGGTCAATATCACTGTAGGGTGCCTTTTGGTGACCTGTACATAACACATTTGCCATGATAACTTAACATAAAAATGACTATGAAATGGTGTGTTATATTAGGCAAAGTTTTTATATTCATAAAAAAAATGCTTTTTATTTTGCTATGTCCCATGCACTGCTCATTACATTTGAATGAGAGTAGAATATAGTCAAATCATAAAATTAAAAAATTGTGTTCTCTATTAATATTTTGTTAATTTTTTGTTAAACTCAATTTGAGTGTATTGATCATTTGGTAATAAAAACAATATTTTTATTGAATAAAAAAAAGAAGAGTTTGTCCATGTCCCTTGAATGGTTGTCCACCCTGTCGTATTGGGGAATCTGCCCCTTTAAAGGGGTCATATGAATGGTGAGAGGCGTAACATTTCCGTCACACGCTTGAGGTATTCGGCCAATCACAACGCACTGGATAGCTGGCCAATCAGAGCACACCTCGCTTTTTCAGACCGATGAGCTTTGTAAAAATCAACGTGTTTCAGAAAGGCGGGGCATAGAGGAGAAACAATAATGTACAGTATGTGGAAAATAATGTGTTTTTTGAACCTTAAACCGCATAAACACATGTCATTAAAGCACATGACGTGGACACATAAAGCAGAACACACAAAGCATGACAAAAATGACAATGAAACATTTACCTTAGAAAAAATAACAAAATTACTTTCTCAATCACGTTGATATTGTCACCAAATACACAAAATACTGTTCTTTTTAGCAGCATCATATGACCCCTTTAAGAAAAGGGCATCCACTTTAGTGACATCAGGACAACAGATTTTTTGTCTCTTCAGTGGCGGGAATTTCAACAGCTGAGGTGAGTAAGTTGGTTACTTTGCAATTGGCAAATTTTCTTCGTATGAGTTGCTTATTTGCTTTGCCATAGCTTAACATGTCCACCCTGTCGCCATAAAATATGCCAGAAGTGATTAGAATACAGTATTTTCAAAATATGTAAGTTTAAATATACCACATTCTCTTCAACAACCAGACTAACTATTTAGCTAGTCACACTTTGTTGTAAGCTAATATACTAACTGAAGCTCAAAATGTCCACCCTGTCAGCCACTTAGACATGACAGGGTGGACACAGCATTCATTTGTAGATAATACTGCAATTTATAGAAATTTAATATTGTAATTTATAGAAAGATATGCTGTAGATAATATTTTGTAATTTATAAAAACATAAAATCATTGCTCTTTCGCAGGACATGCCTCTAAATGTAAAGCCAGAAATTGCACGGCAATACAGAAAGCGTCGGGATGCAAACCCCGAGCGAAGAGAAGCACCCCTTAAGAAAGAAAGGGAGAAATGGAGGAAAGATAGCGATACAGGGAAGAAGAAAGGTATTAATGACCTCACTGAGAGAGGAAAACATTGTCAAAGGACAAAATGGAGGGAGGCAAAGAAAGCTGCCAGAGCTAAAGCCAGGACAACAGCGGAGTTGTTATTGTTAGTGAATGTAGTGTGTTTCGCTCTGTTCATAATGTGGTGTTTACATGGAGTTTTTAGTTAAGATGTACTGAATCGATATGAATTAAACTAAACTAAAATGAATGGGATGGGGCATATCAACGTGATTGAGAAAGTAATTTTATTATTTTTTCTAAGTTAAATGTTTCATTGTCATTTTTGTCATGCTTTGTGTGTTCTGCTTTATGTGTCCACATCATGTGCTGGTCCACCCTGTGATCTTGATATTTTACAATAATATTTTAAATAATAATTCAATCATATCTATATAATCCAGTGTGTTCAATAGCTAGGTGTTGGGGCAATAACATGCAAACAAAAAACTGCATCCAAATATCACAGTTTTCTCCAAAAAAAAATAAAAATACATGTGCAAATTTTATGAGTTTCTTTAAAAGCACATGGTTTACATCAAATCTTTTATGTATTTATAATTTGAAGGCAAACAAATAACCCTGTTTAGGAAAGGGACATCATACCTTTCAGAAAGTATAATTTGCATCTTAATATTGCAATGAAAACGTATTTAACAGTAATATATGTGTCCAATGCAGGGTGGACATATCTTATGGTTTATGCTTCAAATAATGGCCCATAATTATCTAAAAAATTGTGTGGGAGCTCAGCTAATATGTTTCTATAGTACTTGAGTGTCTACTATTTATGACATAAAAACATTTTGGTTTTAATTTCCCATTCGCTTTGAGTATTGTGAGGGTTGAAAGGCGCAGTCAATGCGCATATGATATTTAAAATTGCTCTATTTTGTAAACCTCTTGCCACACCGGGCGACACTGCAATTTCTTCCCAGAATGGATTTGCAAATGCCGTTTCAGGTCTCTTTGATATGTGAAAGTCTTTTTACAATGTTGGCACGTGAATGGCTTTTCTCCAGTGTGTAGTCTCATGTGAATGTTAAGGTTTCCTTTTTGAGTGAAACATATTCCACACTGTTGGCAGGTGTATGGGCTCTCTCCAGTGTGAATCCTCATGTGGACTTCAAGGTTTCCTTTTCGACTGAAACTTTTTTCACACTGCTGGCAGGAAAAAGGGTTCTCTCCAGTGTGAATTCTCATGTGGACATTAAGGTTTCCCAGTTGATCGAAACTCCTTCCACACTGAGAACACGTGTAAGGCTTCTCTCCAGTGTGCATTCTCATGTGGGCATTAAGAGTTGGTCGATGTGTAAAACTCCTTCCACACTGAGAGCATGTGTAAGGCTTCACTCCAGTATGAATTCTCGCGTGGCTTTCAAGGCTTCCTCTTCGAGTGAAACTTTTTCCACAGTGTTTGCAGATGAAAGGCTTCTCTCCCGTGTGAACTCTCATGTGGTACCTAAGGTTTTCTTTTCTGCTGTAACATTTTCCACACTGTTGGCAGGTGAATGCGCTATCACTAGTGTGAATTCTCATGTGGACTGTAAAGGCTCTTTTTTGGTCAAAACTCTTTCCACACTGTTGGCAGGTGAAGGGCTTCTCTCCAGTGTGAATTCTCATGTGGATTTTAAGGTGTCCATGTCGACTGAAACTTTTTCCACATTGTTTGCAGGTGAAACGACTTCTAGATCCTGTCTTTTGAGCTCTTTTTTGTGAGGACGCTTTTTTTTTAGTCTGCGAGCGATTATACTTTTCAGTTACAAAATCATGATGTTTCTCATACTGATCTTTCTCTTCAGTTTCATCCAGTTCTTGACCCTCCTCTTTCAGTGCAATCAGGTCTGAAGGGAAAAAAGAAATATAAAAGAAGTTAAAGGGTTAGTTCACCCAAAAATGAAAATTAGGCTGC